GGAGTCATTTCAGAGAATATGTGGAGACATAAGCTTGACTGGTATGGGCTCCGGAGACAGTGGGAGGGGGGAATCGGAGACAGCTGACATGGACAACTATTTTGGGGAGTTTGTTATACAGGGAAGTAGAGAAATGGCGAAGTAATGGAATGGGATGTAGGTCAAGGGAAGACAAATGTAGACAGCCTTCAAAAGGAGCATGAACCATTTGTCCGTTACAATAAGAAAGGCAGAGTATATGGTCACAAATGCAGGAAGAGTGGTTTGATGTGGCAGTGGGAGGTGCTGTACAATCAGGAGACAGTCTGGTGGTGAAGGGCAAGTTAGTCCAGGCTTGAAAAGGACCTAAGATCATTGGAAGGTGGACATGCATTTTTAAGAAGTGAATTTTGAAATGAAGTTAAAACAATATTCAGGAATGGCAGTGGTGAGTGAGCCAGAAACTAGCTGAATCTACAGCCAGGATGGGAACTCATGAGCTGCCTCCTCCTGAGGGGTACAAAAGACCTGTTGAACTCAAGAGGAAGCCAAGTATCAGTAAGAGTGGACAAAGGGGGCCCTGGGAAAAAGCTGGAAATGCACAGATATATTTTGGTGATTAAACCAAAGGAATTCCAGGGATCACAGTAGGGAAATCATCAGGAAAGGACGTGTCACGGAAGGGTTATGGTCAGCAGGTGCAGGGGAGGAGACTGAACTACAGGGAGGGAGTGCACAGACGACTGACTTTGGTGACAATTAAGAATGGCATAAGGTAGGTAGGTAGTTGAGGCAGCACTGTGTGGTCATGAGGAGAGACTGGAGTTTTGGATTTCTGCTTTTTCACTGCCTAGCTATGTGGCTAAGAGGTTAGTTAGCAAGTTAGTAAATATTGTGTTAGGGTATTTATGTGGCAAGTGACCAAAAACCTACTTTAATCCAGCTTAATCAATAATGAGAATTTACTACTTTCCATAACTGGAAATTCCAGAGGATGGGGAGGTATAGGGATCATTTGACTCAACAGCAGCCCCGTTATATCATCAAGGACTCAGTTTATTTACATTTCTCTGCTGTACCTTTTACGGTGGTGGCTTCACCCTAAGACTGGCATCAACTCATGGTCACAGGATAGCTATCAGCAACTCTGGGGACTACATATATGTTTACTTTTACACGTCTAAAGGAGAGAGTCCCTTTTGGTAGTGTTCTCAGAAAGGAGAGAATGCATCTTTTCCATAAGCTCAGCAAACCTGTCCTGGAATCTCATTTGAGTAACACATCCAATCCTGAACCAACTCCTGTGGTCTGGGAAATACCATGTGCTAACTGGCTTGGGCATGAATTATCTGAACCAATCAATGTGGCAAAAGGGACCTACCTTGATTAGTTTGGAGTGTGTAAGGCCTACTCTTGTTCCTGGGGCAGAGTCTGCTTCCCCTAAAGGACACTGGCTGTTGGGGAATAAACATATGAGTATTGTTAGGAAGGGGGAAAGAAGAATGAATGCTGAGTAGATTCCTAAAAATATCCACCTCACCACCTCATTGAGCTGTTGTGAAGATTAAATTAATACTGTGTGAGGATGCCTTGCTTTTCCTTCCTAAAAGGTTCTTGGAGGTAGAAATATAGAAGAAAGGTTGGTAGGGGAGGGAGGTGAGCAAAGAGAAATCGAGGGGAAAGGTCCAAAACCTAAATGGAAGACATAGCAGAGGAAAGTGAGGCTGGGACGAGAGGTGGATGTAAACAGAACACACCTATTTCTGAGTGCTCAATAAAAATTAAGAGTAATATTCCTTTGGTGCCTCACAAGTTCCCCTTTCCCACAAGCTGATGAGAGTGGAGTTGGTTCATGTCTGTACCTGTCTGTGCCCAAAAATGTTGGATGGTTCCCAGCTTTGTACCAAACTAAAGATATTTGCCTCACTCACTCTGGAATTCAAGACCCTCTGGAATATGAATCCAGCCTACCATTGGCCGCATTTCTTATTATCTGCCTATACGAATCCATCTGTACTCCAGTCAAATCAGACTTTTGGTAGCTTCACAATAGACCCTACACCTGCTCTCCTCCCTGCCTCTCTGCATGCGTTTCTTTGGTTTGAATATTGCTCTCCTATCTTTCCTGGCTGAAATCCTCTCATCTTGAAAGCCAAGTTCAAATGCTTGTTCTCTGATGTAGTCTTCACTGGCCCTTTCAGGCTCCAGTCCTCATTCTCTCCTCACCAGTTCACACTCATTATCAGTTGAGTGTGCTTATCTCACCAGCTTTAGACTGTCGGATTCTTGAGGACAGTGACTACATTTTCCTCCTCATCATCATAGTCCATGTTCGTTCTTTATTTGCTCATTTAAAAAGATTTATGGGCCTCACCATACATGCAGAGGTGAGTAAGAAAAGCACTCAGGGGCCGGCCCCGTGGCGCACTCCGGAGAGTGCGGTGCTGGGAGTGCAGCAGCGCTCCCGCCACGGTTCGGATCCTAGATAGGGATGGCTGGTGCGCTCACTGGCTGAGCGAGGTGTGGGCGACACCAAGCCAAGGGTTACACTCCCCTTACCGGTCAAAAAAAAAAAAGAAAAGCACTCAGTAAGTACTGGTTGAGTTTAATGCTGTTGAGATGGAACTTGTGCTAGCCAACAGGACATTCTCTCTGTTCATCTTCTCTTCTAAGTGTAACCATATTTGCCAAATCTCTTGCGTCAGTGGGCCAGATACTCATATAAAGGTTGAGTTTCTACTGCCAAAGCGAAGCAAAGAAATGAGATAACTTAATGAGACAGCATGTAGATTACTCAGGAAAAAAACATCCCTTTGAAACTGAGTAATTCCAGTTTTTATTCCAGGTTCATACAAAGCACTGTCATCTGTATTATTTAGAGGGGCTTTCAAAATGTTTTTGCCCTGACTCACAGTAAAAAAATACATTTTACATCACAACCCAGGTCATAAATATTCTTTCATTCATTCCTCAACAAGTAGCTATTGGACAACTACTATATGACAAATGCTATTCTAAGTGGAATACAGAATACAAGTAGAATACAAAGTAAAAGAGAAAGAAGGGAAAGGAGGAAGGAAAAGAAAGAAAGAAGTCTTGCCCTCGAGGACTTTACATACTAGTGGGACAATAAACAAAAGTAGTAAAATACACACACACACACAGAAGATTAATGAAGCAAAGCCACCTATTACCACATGCAGTGTACTCTGTTTTCTGTTTTACTTTTCTAAAAAAATGCTGGTCATACCCCACTAAAACATTAAGTTGGCTTCTCAATTCAGTAATGGGTTGAGAACTGCACTTTGAAAAATACTGATCTAGACAATTTATGAGACAGGCAGGGTCTGTGCTGTTCCCATCTTACAGATGGAGTGACACACAATGAGACGTTAAGTGCGTTTCCCAAATTCACCCACAGTCCGAGGGAAGTAGTGCTGAAAGTTCACCTTGGGGCTTCTGACCGAGTCCACTGCTGCCCTTTCCATCATCCCCTGTAGTCCACGCACCTGGCTCAGTTCCCACTTCTCTTTGATTATGAAATCTTGACCTTTGCCTGGAGTAGCTCTTCCCTCCCTTGCCAGGTGAAAATCACGTTAATACTTCTAGGCCTATCTAGACTGCAGTGTGCTCCAGGATGCCTCTCACATGCCACTTACTGCATCTGGCTTGCTTTATAACTACTGGTGTACCAGAATAGGATCCTCTTCACTGTGATCTCCTTAAAAGCAGGTCTCACTCATCTTTTGTGTCCCCCAAAACAGTGCTTTGTAGAGTAGGTATTAATACATATGGAATTGAACTGAATTTTTAAGTGATTCAAACCAGAGGGGTGGAGGGAAGTGCTTACTAGCCTGACTACAAGACTTAGGTAACATCTATTTAAAAGACTGAGACTAGAAAGGATACCACTGGTAAAAAGATCTCTTTACCTGGGTTACAAAAGTCAAACATTAGGTAGAGGCTTCAATAGTAAAAACTATGCAATGTTTTATCTCCTCAGTATCAGTAGAAAGATTTAGAACCATGTCAGTATATCACAAATCACACAGAACAGAAACTTAGCGAAATTAATTCAAGAAAATGAGGGCTATTATAAGGAGGCCCATAGAATAGCTGGATGGAACTGAAGAAGGACAGGAACCAGTGGCCCTCGGGGGAGCTCCTCAGCAGCTGGGGTAAGGGCACCATTGCTGTAATGGTGACCATTACCATGGGGACAGCTGCTGACTCACCCAAATGAAGGAAATCAGTTGAAATTCTCAAGAGCAAGAAGCTAAATGACACAGCCAATTCTAGAATTGTCTACTCTTGCTTCACTTAATTTGGGTAGGATGGAGGTATGTGATTAGTGAAGATATCTAGGGAAGGGCTGGCCAGTTAGCTCAGTTGGTTAGAGCATGGTGTTTTAACACCAAGGTCAAGGGTTTGGATCCCCATACCAGGAAGTTGCTAAAAAAAAAATAAAGAAAATATCTACGGAAAAAGGGAGAGAAGAAACTCTTTGAAAAGGGACTAGAACTTTAACTAAATATTGAACCCAACTGGAATTTTAAATTTAAATTTTGTCCTACCACCACAGAATATGGGGACTCAAGGCCAAGATGAGGTCAGTTATAAAAAGTTATACAAAATACTAAATCTGTGATATAGTATAAATATAATTTCAACCCTATTAAAAGTAAAAAAAAAAAAAAAAAAGTACATTTTAGCTAAATGACCTCTACATTTCATGGATCTACAAATCCATGAACATATAAACATATCATGAAAATTCTGTATAACAAGTATGTTATACAATTCTCTAACCCATGGTTTCCAGACTCTATTCTGAGTCAGATTCTAATTCTGTAGGACTAGGGTAGGGTGGTGGGGACTGCATATTTAAATAAGCATGCAAGATTCTGTTAAAGTTGGGTCATGTTGAGAAAGTTGCTTAACCTAACTCATTCCTACTTAAAAGTAATTAAAAGGGGGCTCAACTGACAAATTTTTAAATAGAACAAAAATGGACAATAAAATTACATGGGCACATCATTTATATAGCAGTAACACTAAATAAGAGCATGTACAAATTTAAAAAATATAAAAGTTCACCAAAATTCTGAAAGTCACAGTTTGTATAGCACTGAATAATACAGCTTTGGCATGTGATATTACAAAGTCACTTTCATCATGAATTCTTCTTCATTCTGGGTCAAGGCGAGGTAAAACAGGAAGAATAAGATTCCCAAATGCAGAGTCTTGAGTTATGAAGTATCCAGATGAATGTGCATGAGCATGCTGGGAAAGATATAAAAAAAAAAAAAAAAGGCAAGCCATTAAGAGTCACAATTTTTCAATGAAAGAATTAAAATTACTTATCCTTTCTGAATGTTCGAGACTAAATTTATTTAAAAATCAGCTCTTACACTGCTAATTTTAAGTACACAGGAGATGGACAATAATACAGAATTTTATTTACAAGCTGCAACATGAACTCATTTATCATCCCCTGTGATTCTCTTCAGTCAATAAATAAGTCAAAGACATGAACTGCTTTGTTCCTTGGAGTAAGGAAAACTAGGATCAAAGGTCCCAAAGTACTCTGCTCTTGGTCAACAAAGCAGGAGCTTGAGGAAGAAGGGTAATAGTTGGAAGAAAAGGGGGAAAAATGCAGTGATTACTGGTGACTAAAATATCAACATTGGTAGAGAATTTTGAATATAAATAGCAGAAAACCACCAGTGACTTCCTCTATCATTAAGAAGAGGAGAACTGTTTTTAGGTCATCTAAAATGAGATGATCTTTTTATAATGTCCTTTTCAATTCTGGAATTCTAAGGTTTAAAAGCATAGGTGATTAAATTATGCCTACAAACAAAACAAAACAAAACAAAACCTATGTTGTGTCCAAGGTCTCGGGGAATCTTAACTTATCCAAGATGAATGTAATACTGAAATCACTTATTACTCTAAAAAATAATATATATTTTTTAAACTGATGGAGCATCACATTCCTAATCCTATGGTAATAATTAGCCTTTAAACATTTCCTGCACAATAAGTGTGTTGACCATTAAAAAAAATCCAAACAATAATAAACCAATAAGACCATCAAAGGATGTAATGACATGACAAATCTGAAAAAATATGTACTAATAAACTAGCCAGTTCAATTTGTAAGATCATCCTGTCCATCCAAATATCCTAAACTCTTGTGCACAAGCAATCCCTTGGTAGTATAGCACAGAATCAATCACGACCATGTCAACACCATAAAAGACATTTTCATTATTGCTGTATTGGTCCGTCAAATCCTTTGGGCATGATTGAACATCAGCAAACCACTGCAATTATGTGTGGAACATTTTTATCGATATTGCTCCACTGAAATACAAAATAACCACTGTGCTTGCTTCTAAGACCCACAAACTCTCCAATGAGACAGGAATGTCAGTTACACGTTGCTCACCTGCAAAGCTGCCTTCTGTTGGGCTGCAATATGCTGCTGCTCAGCATGATCCCGGAAGTCCTTATTAAGAGAGGGTCTCGAGAGTGCAATGCTAAAATGGGAATCTGAGTCACTTGGCTGCTTAAGGCAGAAACATCCTTACTTTTTTTGTTTTTGATGGTAGTAAATTATCTTATTTAAAATTATAGTTAACAAATAAAAATTGTATATATTTATACAATTTGTGATGTTTTGATTTTTACAAACATTGTAAAATGGTTAAATCAAGCTAATGAACATACCCCATATACTTATTTTTTGCTGTGAAAACATTTAAGATCTCCTCTCTTAGCAATTTGCAAGTATTCAATGCATCATTATTAACTACAGACAACATGTTGTACAATAAATCTCCTGAAGAGTTATCCTTACTTCTGAATCACATTTTTCATTATATATTCTTTACAGGGATGAAAAAGACCTTCCAAAATAAGTCTTTTTCCTTTTCCCACTATCTACATTAATTTATATGAAGAAAGCCTATTTACTGGGATTTCAAAAGATTTTTTTTTTAAATTTATAATTTATGTTCCTCTACTTTCTTCTTTTTTTTTTTTTTAAAAGATGACCGGTAAGGGGATCTTAACCCTTGACTTGGTGTTGTCAGCACCACGCTCAGCCAGTGAGCGAACCGGTTTTTTTTTTTAAAAGATGACCGGTAAGGGGATCTTAACCCTTGACTTGGTGTTGTCAGCACCACGCTCAGCCAGTGAGCGAACCGGTTTTTTTTTTTAAAAGATGACCGGTAAGGGGATCTTAACCCTTGACTTGGTGTTGTCAGCACCACGCTCAGCCAGTGAGCGAACCGGCCATCCCTATGTGGGATCCGAACCCGGGGCCTTGGTGTTATCAGCACCGCACTCTCCCGAGTGAGCCACGGGCCGGCCCGTTCCTCTACTTTCAAACAGATTTGAGGTACTACAGTCTATCATAATCCCTATTAACATTATTTTTAAAAACAGTTAAAAGAAATCACATAATATTCACCAACAGTAAAACGATATTTGTTTATATAATATTTAAATTAAAATTTTCATGGCCATGTTCCACATAGGTTGAACTACTATGAACAAATAAACTTAAGAGGTACTTATTCACCAGATTCTAGAGCAGATACTAGTTGCCTGTCTTTGTACTGAACACTAGGGGTATAAAAATATGCAAGACAAAGCTCACAGACAACAGCAATGATGATGGGATGTGATGCAGGCTATAACAGGGGAATTACTAAGGACACAATATAGCTGGAAGGATAATGATCATGGAAAATATTATAAAATATAGAACCTTATCTAACAGTAATAGATCTCCAAAGAGTGTTAAGCAGCAGGGAGTGACGTGATCAGAAGTACCATACTGTGGTTAAGAAAGACCACTACTATGGCAGACAGTGTTGGTCAGCTCCTCAACAACTGTTTATCTACCTTTGTCCTTGCTAATGGAACCCAAACTTGGTTCAATCATCAGTGATCCCATGCTTCAGGGCAGGCCAGGCTCATCCCCCAGAGGGTGAACCCTGCCTCGTATAAGACAATGCTATTTCCCTTGCTGGTTTCTGGTTTAGGCAAGAGAAAAGTCCACAATTCTGGGCAAGTGGACTTGATAGGTGGTCTGTCGGAAGGCTTCTGAGAATGCTTTCCTCACTCTTACCAAAGGAACATACCGTAGGAACCTTTCTGGCTTTTGCCTGCACAGGTGGTTTGGTTCAGGGGTGATACCTGGGCTACTGCAGTCATATTTCAACCTTGAGGGAGCTGCTGAAAGCAGAAAGGAAAGGTGGTGGAAGCTGGACCACTGATGACACTGTTCTGCTACTGAACTAAGCCACTTTGGGACTACCGATCTTCACACTCCTGGCTAACATATATCCTAATGTTTATGCCAATTTTGTTGGTTTTCTGTTACTTCCAGATTAAAGCAGCCTAACTGACACAAATGATGATTGTATTTGAGAAGAGTAAGACCACAGAAAATTTAGTGAGGTAGTAGTTTTAGTAATTGAGACAAGAAATTAGAGTGGCCAGGACCAGGAAAGCAGCAGCAGCAATGAAGAAAAATGGACAGATTTGAGACACATTTCAAAGAACATACACCACAAAATGCTGTTTAGGTCAACAACAGACCACACATAGGATGGTGGGCCCATAAGATTATAATGGCTCTACTATATAGCCTAAGTGTGTAGTAGGCTATACCATCTAGGTTTGTGTAAGTGCACTCTATGATATTTACATGATGAAACTGCCTAACAATGTTTGATGCATTTCTCAGAACATATCTCTGTCATTAATTGATGCATGACTGTATAATCACAAAAGAATGGTAAATGCTTGGAGATGAAAGTGAAAGGGAATGGTAAACAATTAATGTTCACATTTTTGACTTTGTTAACTAGTCAAACTAGTAGATGGTAGATGCCTCACCATTCGCTGAGACAGGAAACCCAAGGAGTTGGTTGGAGAAAGTGAAGGGAGGATGAGTTAAGTTCGGGACATACTAAGTTTGGAATGCCTATGGGATGTTGAAGTAGAAATGTCCAGGAGGCAGTTTGGTTCTTAGGAGAAAGAGCTGGACTAGAGCTGCAAGTGTATAAGTTATCAGCACATAAATAACAGGTTGTGGGAGTGGATGCAACTGTCTGGTTAAAAGATGTAGTAGGAAGACTGGGAAACCTGGTCTAGAAAAGAACAGGGAGGACTGTCGACATTCAGGGGATAGGTAGTAGAGAAATGTCTGCCAAAAAAAAGAAAAAAATCAAGATAGGAGTGAATAAGTGAGAAAGTAGAGGTGAGTATAAACAACTAAGAAAGTAAGCGAGAGAAAGAGTAAGAAAATAAGAAAGAGTAAAAGAGAAAGAAGAGTTAGGGTGGTAGCTGAATGGGATAATGCATCTGAGAGAAGATATTGAGTGTATCAGAGACTAAATACAATAAAGATCATTAAGCCACCTAAATTTTACCTACTTTGCAGAATGCTTAAAAAGTGGGACACTGGCAACAATTTCAGTAGCAAAAAACATAAAAGCCTTTTTTTTTTTTTAAAGAAGGCTGTAGGTAAAATTAAATATTTTAAATAGAATATTTAAAGCAATTAAGTAGTCTAATTTTAAAAGTCTAAATAGAAAATGAAGGAAACCAGAATGTCACCCCAAAATATGCCTCTTTAACATAAAAATTATTTTTGAGCTGAAGGCAATTAAGAAACAGCAAAAGGAGGAAAAGTTCTCTCTATCTTCCCTTCCCACTTTCTGCCTGAAGACAAGATATAAATTCTCCTTTACTGGAGACAACTAAAGGCTGTTAACAGAGGAATCTGCAAACAAACCTTACTCAGCTTTCTCCCATATATTTATCCTCCCACCTTTGGAAGCCTAAAAGTGGTTTCCTTTGTCCTATCATTTCCCTACATATTTATTGTTCATTGTTGAGGACAGCTGTGTAAATGGAGTTCTAGGCAACCATTTTAAATTACTTTTCACTGAGGTTTCTCCCGTGTGATGTGTGCTGCGCGCTGCATGCATTAATAAACTTGTTTGTTTTTCTCTTGTTAATCTATCTTTTGTTATAGGGGTCTGTCCCAACTAAGAACTAAGATGGGCGGAGGTAAAGTTTTGTGCCCCCACCCCAAACAAAACAGAGCATATAAACTGCAGTGAAAACAACCATTGCCAACCAATTTATTTGGTCCAAGAAATGTTTTATATCACTATATATAAAAATCACACAATTCTTTAAAATCTGTGTCTGTAACAAAAAATAAAGCTAAATAAAACAAAGTAAATATTTTTTTTTCAAAGTAAATATTTCCATCTGTTCTCTTGAAAAATATGATTAATAATAAATAGCTCCCCCAAACAGGAGTCAGTACCTAGCTCCAGGATGATTTGTTGAAGATTGGTTCTGCATAAGTAATTTTCTTTTCTCTTTGTCCAGTTCTGCCAAGATTGCAACTCTATTTTTGTTTTGAAAACCTAAAAAAGTGTGTGTGGGGGGGGAGATAGGGGAGAAGAGAAAGAGAAAGAGAAATAAGAAACATTTTAGACCTATTTTATAAACTTAGGTCATCTAGAACTCAAAAAGCAAAATTCCTATTCCCTAACTTGATGATGAACTCACTAGTAAGTACTTTCCTGAAATGGTTACTTTTCCCCTACTGCCTATTTCCTATCAACTTTAACAGCATAAAACATGGATACATATGCAAAGTATAATACTGACTCAGGACATTTAACACTTAGTTCCAAAGGATTTTAATCACCAAGGTAGAAGTTACAACATTTGTTTAAAAAAAAAACAAAACAAACAAAAAAAACATTTGAAGCCCCAGATGCTGCAGGAACCAATCTCTATCCTGCACAATCTTTGGGAGTGCAGATTTTCTTAGTCCTCAATTTTTTTTTTTTTAATAAAGATGAATGGTGAGGGGATCTTAACCTTTGACTTGGTGTTGTCAGCACTACGCTCACCCAGTGAACAAATCGCCCATCCCTATATGAGATCCAAACCCGTGGCCTTGGTGTTATCAGCACCACACTCTCCCGAGTGAGCCACAGGCCGGCCCCCTTAGTCCTCAATTTTAGGCCTCTTTTGAATGCCTCTTTCATGAGGGAAAAAGCACTACATATACTCAGATCAAAACAGTACTTTTTCTCAACTGCTTTCATTGAGAAATGGCACACAATCTTTCAAGGAACAAGTCAAAGAATTGCAACTGACCAATGTTAAATAAAAATTATAGGAGGCCATTGTTTTGAACTAAGTTTCTGTGCTAGGCTCCAAAAGACCAGACTAAAAATCAAAATGGAAAAAACGAAAACAAAAAAGAGGCTAGCTGGTTAGCTCAGTTGGGAAAGCTGATAACACCAAGGTCAGGGGTTTGTATCCCCATTACTAGCCAACCACAAAATAAAACAAAACATAAAATCAAAATGGAGTCACCCCTGCTAAGTTCCACCAAATCTAAACTGTAAGTTGTGGTCTGACTTTCTAAGAAATCAGGAGAGATAACAGCCAATTTTCCAAACAGGCCAGTTTAAATCTTAAATAGGCATGATAATGAAGTTCCCTCTGCTTACACAAAAAGGATAGCCTGAAGTAACCTGATGTTAAATAATCAGTTGTTTTTCTATTTTTCTGTGTCAGCCGTCCCAGCCTTACAAGGAAAGTAACTGCAATGACCGACCAATAGCTTTTTGTTCTTTATTTCTGCTTTCTTCAGCCTTTTCTGTCTATAAAACCAACCTCCTCTAATCGGCTCATTGAAACATTTTATTCTATTTTATGGAATGAAGTGTTGCCTGACTTTAGAATCACAATGAAGCCAATTAAGATCTTTAAATTTGTTGTAATTCTGTCCTTTGACATCAGAAAGCAATTCTGAGAAAGGAATGGAGCATAACTGACAGGATACAAAGAGTTATGTCCATTGTCAAATACTTAATACTGGGCTTGATTTTCAGCTTCAAACTTACATAAGATCTAGGACAAAGGTTGCAAAATCCTGGCCCAAGAACAGCATCTAGCTGTGTTTTAAAAATCTGAATTAAACACCAACATGTTAACACTGAGACTGTACACAAAATTCTCAGATTTCTAGCTTCTCTTGAAGCATATCTCAAGGTCTGGCAACAGGAATCTGTATGCCCCCAGGGCAACAATTATCTAAAACTAAGTAGTAGTTGTCCCTTTCAGCTGAGCACTCTTCAGCTTGTTACAATCCTTATCAGACTTGTCTATACTCACTGGGCTAGAAGAATGAATATGGGGGGCAGGAACACTGTTCAATCCAAGCAGACCTAAGCACTCCTAAGGGTACCCACATGAGGGATTCTAAGAATTTTATAAGATTATAAAGAGGAAGAATTCTTCCTGGGGAGAGGCTGAGGATGGTGCAGGATGTACGCACAAAAAGCTTTCATACTGAGATTGGGCAGAATGAGAAGCAGCTGAGACTTCCAGTGTTTTCAGCTAAACCTGTTTTTAAACTGGGCATCAGCATACTGGCTGTGGCCATAATTCTGGCCAAAATGTGTCTCTGTCACATTCATTTTAAGAATTTATCGTATCCCATTTTCCTTCTCTGCCCACTCATGCTATGTCATCAAATTCTAGTAAAAGAAGACTCCCTCTTTTTAGGGTAGATAATTCAAAATACATTCTTTTTTTTTTTTCCTTTTTGTCTTTTTTCGTTACCGGCAACAGGATCGCAACCCTCGGTGTCGCGTCTGCACCGTGCTCAACCAGTGAGCGGACCGGTCTCTATATGGGATCCGAACCCTCGGCGGGAATGCTGCCCTCTACCGAGTGCGCCACCGTGCCGGCCCCAAAATACATTCTGATACTTCTGAACAGATGGTTTAATGAGCCTTCCAGGTGATTCTTCACCTACTTTCATCCCAACTCTAATCCCCTTTTCCTGCCCAACCTCTTAGTTAAGTCTTCTGGGAGAAGAAGTTCTTTGGGGCCTTTACATGCCATATATCATTAGCTGCTCTACCCACCCTTACAGACAAACATGTCTCAGGAGAAGTCTTCTAGTTAAGGAAGGATTTAATACAGCTCTGAGAGGAAAAACCAAACTGTTTTCCCTACTCTCTACTCCCACTCAGCATAACACTTCTGATACCAGATGTGTGGGGATTTCTTCCCACACACCATGCAATTCTCCAGTGTCCACCAGCTGGGTGTCCTGTAATTCAATTCTGACACCATCTACCTGAAGATAGTGTCAGATCCCATAGGTTGATGGCTCAGTCCCACAAGACTGACCCCTACTTCAGATGCCAATGGCAAATAAGTAGGTTCTCACCTATACTTCTTACCAACCATCTATAATTGAGACTCCTGCTATCCCTTCCTTGGGTTTGATTAATTTGCTAGAGTGGCTCACAGAACTCAGGGAAACACTTTAATTACGTTTACTGATCTGTTAATAAAGTATATTACAAAGGATACAGATGAACAGCCAGATGACAAGATGGGTAGGGCAAGGCATGTGGGAAGGGGCGCAGAGCTTCCATGCCCTCTCTTGGCAGACCACTATCCTGGCACCTTCACGTGTTCAGCTGTCCAGAAGCTCACCTGAACTCTGTCCTTTGGGTTTTTATGGAGGCCTCATTACATAAGCATGACTGATTAAATCACTGTCCATCCGTGAGCAATTCAACCTCCAGCCCCTCTCCCCTCCCCAGAGGTTGGAGGGTGGGGCTGAAAGTTCCAACCCTTTTATCACATGGTTGGTTCCCCTGAAAACCAGGCCCCATCCTGAAGCTATCCAAGAGCCCACCAAGAGTCACCTCATTAGAACAAAAGATGCTCCTGTCACCTAGGAAATTACAAAGGACAAGAGCTCTGTGTCAGAAACTGGGGTCAAAGACTAAATGTCAGAACAAAATATTCTCCTACTTCTCCTATCGGTCAGGAAATTACAGGGGTTTTCGGAGCTCTATGTCAGAAACCCTGGTTAGAAACCAAATACGGGGCCGGCCTGTGGCTCACTCGGGAGAGTGCAGTGCTGATAACACCAAGGCCACGGGTTCGGATCCCATATAGGAGTGGCCGGTTTGCTCACTGGGTGAGCGTGGTGCTGACAACACCAAGTCAAGGGTTAAGACCCCCTTACCGGTCATCTTTCTAAAAAAAAAAAAAAGAAACCAAATACATATTTCTTATTATATCTCAATATCACAACAGCCAAATTCCAAGGACGTACTATTTGTACAATTAGTTATTTCTGAAAGAACAGTAAGAAGGTATTTTTCTATCTCAATTTTGGATTCAGAAAGAAGAAATGAGGCAGAACAGTAGGAAATACTAAAGTTTAAATCAATGTAGAATTCTTCCCAGGATGTCAGATCAGACTTATTAAAGCATTATAAGCATTAAAGCAGTATCAGACTTATAAACATTATAACTGTTTATGAAAACAGTTATTATTTGCTTAGGATAGTTTGTTTAAAGTCTCCAAAGGCAGGCAAATTAATTCATGTTAAATGAAAAGGTTAAAGTAGTCCTCAAAGTCTCCTTCCAGCTCCAACACATGAAGATTCTATAATTTCCCCCAAATGTCTGCCCCTTTGAAAATTCTTGGCTATCTTAATATTTGTGATATTTATGCCAGTGAATACCAATGCTATGGTAAAAGGTGCCATATATAATAATAATTGAAACTATGTCAAAATATTGTTAAGGAAACATCATTAGCAAAGCAATATAGAATTACTAGCCCACTGGGCTGGCCTGGGGCTCACTTGGGAGAGTGTGGTGCTGATAACACCAAGGCCACGGGTTCAGCTCCCTATATAGGGATGGCCAGTTAGCTCACTTGGGAGAGCGTGGTGCTGACAACACCAAGTCAAGGGCTAGATCCCCTTACCAGTCATCTTTAAAAAAAAAAAAAAAAAAAAAAAAAAAATTACTAGCCCACTGACTTAGAAAGTCAGAAATAACAACTATCTGGCAGAGATAGAGAAATGAGGGGAGAAATAAAGTGTACCCTAACCTCAAGCCCTCTGCCATTTGGCATGCAACTGCATATTTCAATATTAATATCTTTCTTCAAACCAAAATGGAGTTAAGAGATTCTCAGATTCCCAGATTTAAACACAAGGCTGGTCAGATAACTATTTTGAGGAGGAGAAATCTGGTATCTTTCTGGTATTTTGGAATACCACAGTGACTCTCATTTAATGGCTGTGTGTCTCCCCAGAAACAGCCACAGAGAGATCATTATTCTACAGACTTCAATAATGTTTGAATTCCAGGCTACAGTAGTGAAAGAAAGTGAACCGAGATGCCGGGTACTGTTCAAGCTTTATTAAAGAAAGAGAATTTGCTGGGCTGTGCTCAAAGTAGCAAGCAGCCCGGGGCTTCCCTGAAAATGGGGGACAGCACCAGGTGTGGGGGTGGTAGAGCTTATATTGGTATGTTGGCGCCAAGAGCTGGGTGATACCATCAAGGAGGGTCATTATGC